CCACTACCAGCAGCAGCAGTGCAGAAGTAAGGATGGCATGGTATGGTATTGTCACCCTTACTTCTGCGCTGCTGCCTGCAGAGCTGGGTGCTTGGCCAACAGCTGCTGCTCTCTGGCCACCCAGCTTTGAAGGTAGCAGCGCAGAAGTAATGGTGGCATGGTATGGTATGGTATTAATCATCCTTACTTCTGCGCTGCTGCTGACGGGGAAGCTGGTTCAGAGCTGCGTGCCCGGCCAACATCTGCCTCTCTCTAGCCACCTAGCTCTGAAGGCAGTGCAGAAGAAAGGATGGCAATACCTTGACCCCCTGCAAGTCCCTTTTTGGTCAGGACCCCCAATTTGAGATACGCCGGTATACCCTGTGAAATCTGGGAGGAGACCAGATTTCAGTGTCTGAGGCGCGTTTTTCATGGCCGTGAATTTGGTAGGACCCTAATCATAATGCTGTTTCAAAATAAGGAAGTTTGCCAGACGTGACTGGTTTAAAACATTCATGTGTGTCACCTACTGGTTTCTTGAGAAAGTGCACCCTTACTCTGCATGATTGCATTTGATCTACTTTTATGTATATTTTGAATAACTGAAAGGCTGAGAATTAAATAAGGGATAAGGGGCCCAAGCCTACAGTCTTTTCTCAGACAAAACTCCTATTGACTTCAGACAGAGTAAGGAATGCAGGACTGGGTTCAAGATACATGGGAACATGTAGGAATTAAAAAAGAAGGGGAAAGAGAGGTTCCAAGTGATGCCTATGCCTGATAAATTAATGTCAGACACTCACCACTCCATTTGAGGGGGTTTGTGTAATCCAGAACTTGATCTGAGTCAGCCACCGTTTGAATTCTTATTTCCTGTTTCTTGAGTAAGGAATACATGGTGGGGCCAATAACCAGAAATCTGGTCAAATTCTGTATAAATAAGGTCTGCTTCTGCAGTCATTGCATGCACAGAACTCCCATTGATTTCAATAGAAATTTTGCATGTGAAAAGACTTTGGCATTGGCTCCTCAAGATTAACAGTTTTCCTTTATATTTTAGTACCTTTTTAAAAAAAAAATTACCTGAATGAAACGGTGACAATTTAAATAAGAGAGGCAGGTGCTCAGCCTTTACAAAGATCAGGGTCCATAGACAAGTGCGTTTGTGAAGCTAAGATAATTGATGTTTGTAAGGCACTTTGAGATTCAAAGATGGAAGTTGCTACAGAAGAGGAAAATATTATGTTAATTTATATTTTTCAGCAAAAAAAAAAGATAGTATTTGAGAGTTTTGACCCACATCTGTTCACTTTATTCAGACTGGTAATGCTACTGAAGGTAATGCAAGTTCTCTAATTATTAAAGTGATCATGATTTGTCTCTTGATCAGGATTTTTTAATCACTCTAGTTAGGTTTAATTAGCACTGTGAATCCAGCAATATAGATTTATGAGTGAGAGCAAAAATAACTAATTAACTAGTATATGTAAAATAAACCTCTAAAATTATCTACAACGGTGTCTAAAAAATAGTTAATGCCATGATTTTAAAATCCAGTATCTGACAGTCATCTAGGTCTGGAAAAAGATGCTTCATTCCACTGAAAAGAGCATTCCACTGGTATAAAAACACAGTTTCTAGGCTTTCTGGTTCAAAAGGTTTTGACTATAACCGTTCAGCATTGAATAATACTTATCCTCTCTATGTCTTGTTTTGTATGGGCACCCACCACTATATTAGTATCTGAGCACCTTCCAGCTTTACAGGTTGGTATTGTGAGCTTTCTAGTGGGTCCCATACTAAAGAGCTGAGAGGAACTGTGTGATGGAGTAAAGGGGCCGACAGGCAGGGAAGTAGTTAAAAGCCTTTCCCAATCAGTCAGCCTCTGAATTCTGTAAATAAGGATAGGTTACTTGCTCAATGCATGAATGGTGATTAATCTTATTGGCATCAGGCAGTTGATTTCCCTAAAAGATGGGGAGGGATAAGAATAAGAAGGAAAGATTATATATAGCACCTGGGAATGCACTGAAAGAGGGTAAAAGTGAGCTTACAGAAGAGGTGAGGGGCTGGTTGTGATTGTGTCAGCAAGGTTTACTGTGGACATGGTTAAGAGAAACTGTTGGTATGTATATTTGGTCCTTAAAATACAGGGTACTTTGTTGTATTTTAGTTTTAAATGAAGTATGTGTTGAAGGTATTTGAGTTCTAGCTGAGGTCTACATTGTGAAATTTGCTTGATGTATTATTGTTGTTCTTAGAGGCTCACCTGATATCAAGATCCCATTGTGCTAGACCCGGTACAAACACATAGTAAGAAATGGTTTCTGCTGTAAAGAATTTCTTTGTAAACAAGACAGTGGGCAAACGGATGTATTATTATTGCCATTTTAAGTGTGGGGACTTGCTCAAAATCATCCAGGAAGTGTATGGTAGAGCTGAAAATTGAACAGATATCTAAATCCCAATCTATTCCCATAGTCACAAAATAATCTGTTACTTAGAATCACTGTGAATACAGTTGTAATAGAATTTGGAACATGAGCAGCTCTTAGCTGCTATTTTCTATTAGTGTTATCTGGGTTAGTTTAAAGTATCCATATAGTTCAATTTTTGTTTGTGGAGTCTAGATTTTTCAGAATCTCTTCTGTTCATTATGAGTTTTTGACTTTAGCTCTCATGATGTTGGATTGCTGCTTTTGGCTTTGCAGTCCAAGAAAGCTTTTCTAATAAGGAAGAAAATGCATTTTTGTAGTTGTGTACATGGAGCCATGTTGAACTTTTGTTTCTTTCAGACTCTTCTAGTCTTTTAATGCCACAACTAAATATTAATTCCTTCTCCATTGATTTTATTCCATGAATTGTCATATAAACAGTTTCTCAGAATTGTAGTAATGCACCCCCCAATTGGTTGATGCAAGTCTGCTCCTTGATGCGGCGTTGTTTCAAGTAGAACTCAGTTGATTATGAAATACAGCAATGTAGATTTAGAGTCAGATTCTCTGTTGTTCTTCGCCTTGTCTGTTCATTTGTACTTGTGCAAAGTGAGTGTAAAAGACTACCACTCAGAGTTGGTAGGGTTTTGCATGAAGATAAAGGACTATAGAAGGGGCAGGATGAATCCAGGCCCTTGTTATCAGAACTGATGTCCCTGGGAAGTGTGATTTCCCTATTCAATAGATAGCTGTTTCAATCAAGTTAAAAGCCTGGCTAGGTAAGGGAGTTCAAGTAGGATTCTCGTCTTTCAGTGGGACCAAATTCCAGTTATTTGTTTCCAATTTATCTGAAGTACTTCCACTACCCCTTGCCAGTCAGTTCTTATTACATGTATTTTTACATGTAGTTAGTACTTAAAGCAAAATATATATTTACCAATATAGTCTTCTCCACAGTGAGCATGTTCAGAAGACAAAATGGAACAGGAGTACTACTTTCATTTTTTTTTAAATATCTGGCATAAAAGAATACTAGTAAGTATTGCAGTCCAACACACCAATACTGTAGGTCAGTCTACATTAGAAGAATTTTCACCACTGTCACTACTGATGCATACCTCTACCATGGCTGTGCTGCACTGATGCAAACCAGGGCTTGCATTGCAGTGGCTCAATATGTCTACATCCAAGGTTTGCACTGGTGCAATGTAGACCAGTTCTGTTATTTACATAGCATTGTATCTTTTTTTTCCCCTACACTTGGATACCAAACCTACTGTTACCTGACAAAAGTTTTTTAAAAGCCCATTGCCAAGTATATATGCTAAAATTTTAGCTAGCATAATGAAAGAATGTTCAATAAAATGTTTTTTTTAAACAGCAGAGTCATGTGATCTTCAATCTAGTGGTTGGGACAACTATACAACTAACTGCTTTGTAAACACTCATGGTTTAGGTCATAAGCCAACCTCTAGTTAGTGGGGGTCAGAATGAAACTTTTCCTGTGGATGCTTTATTCAGCTGTTGCTTACTTCTTGCACCTGGCTCTGAAGCAGCTGGCATTGGCTGCCAAGAATACAAGACTAGAGGGACCTCCTGTCATCTGTTATGACAATTCCTATGTTAATTATTGAGGAGCTATGAAAAACAACCTATTTAGAGACAACTGTCTTGTCTGTCCTGCTCTTGGCGTTCGAGTTCTTCTGTTCCTGCTGTTCTGTTCTTTTGGTTAAATTAATCATCTTAGTGACAATTTTATAGAGCTCAATTGTCATGTAAAACAGATGAACACCACATTCTAGTGGGAAATAAGCAGCAAGAGGTTTTTGGTTTTTTTAATATATCTTTATATACAGCGTGCCACATTTATTATAAACCAAGTCATTTTGAGAGAAACAGCCTGGAAATGATGTCCTGCAAGAAGTTTGATGTAAGCTAGTGAGTGTATCAGAGCACTTTGGGCTGCGCCCTGGAACCCTGCACATCTGCAGATATCTTCTTGATATCAGCTGACTATATTTGTGGATCAGATGTGGATACACATTTTTGATCTGTGCAGGGCTCTTCTGCCCCCTGGGCCTTGATAGGATGTAGCTGTAGGGATTTAGGCCTTCATCCTGTACGTATTTATGCCAAGATGGGGCTGCTGCTCCCCTGAGTACAGCTATGCCTGGTTCTAAATCCTTCAGGGGATGGTATTGCTGCCTTGCTGTAACAGGAGGCACAGGTCAGCAAGAGACCAACTTGCCCGCACACAGGTACAGGTTGACCTAAGGCAACTTTTGACCGAACTTTGTAGTGTAGGCCTGACCTGCCTCTTTGTGGGCCCAGGGCCTTTGATGGCCCTGTGGTGAATGGGGTGCGAATCCGGAGCCTGTGTTCCACCTTGGAGCTGGCGCTACAGAGGCTAGCGGGGAGATGGGTGCGGTACCCCCCTGGTGCCTGCAGCCGCGCTCCGAGGCCCGGCCGCGGGGCTGTGGGTTCAGTTTCCCGACACTGAACTTGGCGCTGGGCGGAAACCACTGTCCGCCCGGCTGGGGGCAGAGCGCAACAGCGCCCCGCCGCCCCCCGCAGCTGCTGCAGCCGCCGCCGGCTCCCCGCAGGGCTGCCCCGGGGAGGACGGGCGGAGGGAGAGAGGGAGGCTGCCGCGGCGGGCGGGAAGTGAGCTCAGCGCACAGGAAATCCCGCCCGCCTGGCCTGTGTTGTGCTGCCGAGGGGCAGAGAAAGGAGCCTAGCGACCGAGCGGGGCTGGCGCCGGAGACCACGGGCAAAGCCATGTCTGACCAGGTAAGGGCCCTCCCGCGGCCGGCTGGCCGGGCTGAGGGGCCCGCGGCGGAGGGAGCGAGGCTCTGGAGCCGGCCCGGCGGCCTCCCCGCCGCTTCTCCATAGCCCTCAATGGAGACTGGAGGGAGGGGGCGAGAGGCGCCGGGGTAGGGGGCCCTGCAGGCCCTTGAGCGGCGGGGGTTGGCCCCGTCCAGTGCCCGGGCGCAGCCCCCCCTACCCTGCGCCTCCTCAGCGGGGCTCCGCCTGGCACCCCCCGGGAGAAGGGCCCGGAGAGCGGCTCCCCTTTCCCCCCACTTCGCGATGCCCGCCCACTCTCCTGCTCCCTCTCCAGGCGGGGCTGCGGGGTCCCCTCCCGTGACTGCTTGACCCGGCCTCCCACCCTGCCTAGGCCCAGGTCATACAATGGAAGCCTTCCTTGGCCTGCTTTACGGGGGTCAGTCGCTGGTGCCCCCGGTCCTGGCCTGCCCCAGGCCCCCCCGCTCGGGGCCGGAGGAGGGAGAGGCAGCCCCAGAGTTTGCAGCCTGGCTCGGATCTGACAGCAGGAGATGAGGGCTGATAGCTACAGCCAGGATTTAAGCTTCTTTCCTGTTAGGCCTGTACTCAGGCTGGGGAGTTGTTGTGATTTGTGTTTAGTGCTCCTCATTCAAATCGTATCCTGGCTACCTTATTTCATTCCCAAGATTTGTTCAGGAACTATTAAAGATGTTCCTTAAATTGTAGTGTGTGTGGTTTGTGTGTGTATGTATTCTGTCTTTAGATGACACTCTCAACTAGTATTGGCGTGAAAAATGTGGATTTTTCATAGCAGTTTTTTGAAACCTAATTTTAGAAGCAATGTGTGGTATTTAAAAAAAAAATGGAAATGCTCTAAAATGCTTCTATAGTGTTGGGAAGCCAAGCACTGTTGGTATATGAGAATCAGGAAGCAAAACTGGCCAGAAGAGAATGTGAAATTTAGGCCATGACATATCCCCAGTTTGAACCCCTGAAATGTACCCCTGTTAATGTAGTTAAGGTGTAAGAAATCCCTAGTGTGGACAGGAAAAATCACTATTTACACTGGTGGACTTTACCCGAAGTTCAAGCAGAAGTAGACTTAACTAGTGCAAATAATGGCATTGCCTGTTGCTGCTAAGGCTTTACACTATTTGAGCTCTGCAGGTGTCTGACAACTGATGGCTGTCATCAGAATAAGGCCCACAACAAGACCAGGCTTAAGTAAAATGCAGAAAGTAAACTAGCAGCATAAATGGAGGAGGGGGAGAGGAAACTTTGGACCAGATCCTGCAGACCTTTGCTCACATAATTGCCCTTATTGATGTAAGTAGTGCTGTTGTCATAAATGGAACTACTTGCCTGGGTAAGAACTATTCAAATTTGCAGTATAAAGCCCTTTTTCTGAGAAGTCTTTCCATTTGAATCTAATGTGATACTAGTAATAGAGATAAGGAGAAGTTGATTAATGAGGTGACAGGGTTCCATCAAATAATCAGATTCCAACTAAATCTGTTCAGAATGGCAGTCATGGGATAAGAGGGAATGTCCTCTCATGGATCAGTAACTTGTTGTAAGACAGGAAACAAACGGGAGGAATAAATGGTCTGCTTCAGAAGGGAGAGAAGTACATAGCATGGTTGTCCAAGGATCTGTACTGATACCAGTGCTGTTCAACATATTCATAAATGACCTGGGGAAAGGGGTTAACATTGCAATGGCAAAGTTTGCAGATGATCTAAAATTACTCATGATAGTTCAGTCCGAAGCAGACTGTGACGAGTTACAAAGGGATCTCATGAAACTGGGTGATTGGGCAAGAAAATGACACACAAAATTCAGTGTTGATAAATGCAAAGTAATGCACATTGGAAAATATAATCCCAACAATACCTATAAAATGATGGGGTCTAAATTAACTGTTATCACTCAAGAAAGAGATCTTGAAGTCATTGTGGATAGTTCTCTGAAAACATCTGTTGAATGTGTAGCAGCAGTCAAAAAAGCTAACAGAATGTTAGGAACCATTAGGAAAGCATAGATAATAAAGCCGTAAATGTCATAATCCCACAATATAAATCCATGGTACACCTACACTGTGAATACTGCATGCAGTTCTGGTCACCCCATCTCAAAAAAGTTATATTAGAATTGGAAAAGGTACCAAGAAGGGTAACAAAAATAGCTGGGGATGTAGAACAGCTTCCATATCAGGAAAGATTAAAAAGCCTAGAGATTGTTCATCTTGGAACAGAGATGACTAAGGAGGAGTATGACAGAGGTCTATAAAATCATGAATGGTGTGGAGAAAATGAATAGCGAAGCATTATTTACCCTTTCCCATAACACAAGAACCAGGGGTCACCCAATGATATTAATAGGCAGCAGGTTTAAAACGAACAACACACAATGCACAGTCAACCTGGGGAACTTGTGGCCAGGGAATGTAGCAAAGGCCAGAAGTATAACTGGGTTCAAAAAACAATTAGATAAATTCATGGAGGATAGGTCCATCACTGGGTGTTAGCCAAGATGGTCAGGATGCAACCCCATGGTGTGGGCGTCCCTAATCCTCTGACTGCCAGATGCTGGGACTATACAATGGGATGAATTGCTCCATGATTGCCCTGTTTTGTTCATTCCCTCTGTAGCATCTGGCATTGGCCACTGTTGGAGGATAGGATACTGTGCTAGATGGACCATTGGTCTAACCCATTATGGCCATTCTTATGTTGAATTAGGCCACAAGTCTCTTACAAAAAGCAGCCTTCAATAAGTAATCCTTTGTTATGCCTCAAATCTGCAAAGATTTATGCATATGCTTAACTTTATGCACTTTGAGTAGTCTTGTTGACTTGAGTGGGAGCTCTTGCGACCCATAAAGTGTAGCATGCATGTAAACTCTTGAAGATAACGGCCTTACAGTGGGACAAACATGTAAATGCGCTTAACTTTTACTTCCACGGTTAGTTTCATTGAAGTCAATGAATAGTTGACTGGAGTTAAACATGCATAAATGATAGTGGGAATGGGCTCTAAGGTGATATTAGTGCTCATCCTTTCCATGCAAATAATTTTTCTTGGAGTTAGCCATGTTGCATGGAAAAACTACGGATTCTTTTTCTCCTATCTTGTGCTGGAAGTAGTTGTTTCAGAGGATATTGTCCTCCAGGGATGTAATCATTTGTTAATAATGGCAATTATAGCTGTCTTAATTTAAACCGTGAACATAAGAACAGCCATACTGGGTCATACTGTCCATCTAGCGCAGTATCCTGTCTTTGGACAATGGCAAATGCGAGGTGCCCCAGAGGGAATGAACAGAACAGGTAATTATCCGTTGATTCATCCCCTGTCGCCCATTCCCAAAGTGGGATATAATCAGTTTAGTTTTCATTAGAATGAGATAAAAGATCATGTTACTGATAATAAAGGGGGGAACAAAATGGGATGGGGGATACAAAAAGCTTGTGGGTCCTAGGTAACAATCCCAGAATATGGGGAACAGACAGAGTCACAGGAGGGGTAGGTGTGTAGATTGGTTTAATAAAGAGGGAAATTGTAGAATCTAATAAAGCAAATTTAACTTCTAATTAAATATAGAAGAATGAATCAGCATAATATTCGCTTCATGTAGCATTTCTTTTAGCTAAAATATTGCTAACTGTTAGGAGTATAGGCAGAATACATAAATTAACACCACTTGTTTGCTAAATGTCAGCACTGGTGGTGTGTGTACTAATCATCTTATAATCATTCTAAAATCTTATTGCATATTATGTTCTTGAAAATTGAAGGTCAAAATCTATAAAAAAAATAACTAATTTATTGTTTAAGCAAATTACAATGCAGCGTTTGAAGTGTTTTGTTTTGTGGTTCCGTTAGTTGCAATAATAAATACTTGGCCCTCTCAGCACCTTTTGTCCAAGGACTTCAAAGTGTTTTACAAGCACTAATTAATTAAACCTCATGACATAAGTATGAGGTAGGTATTCGAGAACATTTTTTATGCTGCTTAGGAACCCTTTCTGTAAAACAGTGGCTATAGGAACTTTTTATGGCCCTAATGAAAAGTCAGAATCTGATTCAGAAGTGGTTTTATTCAACATTTTTATTTTGACCGCTAAGTAGAAAACTTTCTTTTCCTAGTATGATAGTGAATACCAGTCTTTTAACTGCATGTTAAGTGGTAGGGACTTGCACATGAACTGTTTTGTGAAATGTTTAATTTACAAATGAGTGATTGTAACTTAGTTGCCATCAAGTCTACCTAACTGTGCATTTGCTCTTTAATTTCTTCTGGTGGCTTTCCCATCCACCCATTTTTTCCCCCTTAAACCTGCAGTAGGGGAAAAAATGCTCTTTCAGTTTTGCCTGCCCTTGTTTGGCTCCAGATTACTGGGATTTTACTTTTTAAACTTCAGTTGTTGGCAATGCCATTCTTGACTCTAACCCATTTCAGTCCCTCTTCTCCCCTTCTCCTCCCCCCCCACCCCAAAAAAAAAAATTCCATCTCTGCTTTTGCTCCAGTTTGGTGTATAGTGGGGTTACCTGAGGCTTTAATCTTGCATCTTTGTGACATACTGATATTTTGATCCCACTAATTCCCTTTTTGTCTTCCTACTGCCTCCCTTTCTCATTGCATTTGGCGTGCACTGCCTCAGTTTCCTGGAGCTGAGGACCGGAATCAAGCCTCCTATGGATCATTGCTTTCCACTCATATCAACCAAGGAGGGCTGTCATGGTAGTGATGCTCTGCTTTAGACTCAAGAGTATGAACTCTGTGATACCCCACACAAGAGCTCAGAAACTCTGGTGAGGAGAGCTAGATAGATAGAACAGTGACAAGAGTTAATTTGAATCCTCTGCATGGTAGTGAAGTCCTCTCTTATTATGACAGCAGGCTGGCTTGCAAATTGGTTCTTTTGCATAGTGAACAGAGATGGTGACTGCATACACTTAGAATTTAAATACCCTTTGTAGTGATGGGTTTCTCATATGTTAGCAAAGCAAATGACTAATTAGCATGAAGTTATGTTATACTTCAGTGGGTGTGTAGAGATTAGTCTCTCTCCTCTTTTGGAGGATTATTCTGTCCAGTGTGTAAATGCTAAAAATGTTCTTTCCGCAAACCCTTTCTGTAATTACAGGAGAGTGATTGGCCATTAGGTGAAAGAGGTCCATGATCTAGGTCTCCAGAAAATGTCTGTCTTTTGGTCCTTTTCTAGCCGAGAGTGTGATCCAAACTATCCTCTCACTCCTACAAGTAGTCCCTTGAGATTTGGGTTGAGGCCTGTTAATATGGCAGGATAGTGAGGGGGAAAATGGCAGGGAGGGTGGAAGTCTTTATCGCCAAGAAGGAATTCTGGCACTGGGGAGCTATAAAAGCTTTGATCTTGTCCATCTTGCTGGGCAACAGCATGCTGAAGAAAGGTGATTGAAACGTGACTTGTAGTTTGGTGAGATCCTCCTCTCTGAACGCTTTTTTTTAAGATTTCTCTATCCAGCAACTGCTTGAATTTATGCAGTGACTAAAGGTGTAGGTGTAACCTTGTTCAGTGCCATAATACAGCACATCCATCAAAATGTACAAAACGGTTCAGAGCTGCCTGGCCACGCCTCCACCTAGCAGCTGAGTGAAGGGGATGTCGCCACTTCCGGGGAGACCCCCAGATAAGCGCCACCCTGTCCAGTGCCCGTACCCCCTCCCACACCCAAACTCTGCTGCTGGGGTGTGGGGGGGGGGGGCCCAAGGGCCAAGGGACTGCCCCAGCAGTGGCCTGGCGCAGGGGCTGCCTGAGCTGCCCTTGAACCAGGTGCACCGGCTGCTGCAGAAGTCACAGAGGTCACTAAAAGTCACAGAATCTGTGGCATCCGTGACAAACTCGCAGCCTTATTTATAACAAACATACCATGACGCAAGCTATTAATTGGGGATACTGTTTACACATGGGAGTGAGGGCTCTGCTCATTCTTTGAAAGTGGTAGTGACTTGTGATGCATCTTTACACACTGATGCTATACATGCAACAAAATCTGTTTACTTCTGCCTCTGTTTTAGCATATGAGACAGAGAAAGATCTATTACTGCTTTCTCCATGTTTCTCTTTTTGAGCTTATTTCAATGGAGTTAAACTGGTGTAAAATTGCATTCTTTGTTTTAATGTCTTCTAATTCATCCATTCTCTTCTCTGTTCCTCTTTCTTAGCTGCTACTGTTAATCACTGGTGTAGTGCTGATTCATTGTAATAAGAGAGAAGTTAGCGTACTGTCTAATGAAAGTAGTTAATAAGTAGGATTTATCAATATCCCTGTGGAATGTTTTTCTTTCAGGAAGCAAAACCTTCAGCTGAGGACTTGGGAGATAAGAAAGAGGGAGAATACATTAAACTCAAAGTCATTGGGCAGGTGAGTTCTTTTACATAATCAGTTACTGGCGGATATTTCATAGTTGTCCATGTATAGCCTGCAGATGGATCATCTCTCTTAATTACACATATGAACAGCTGAATTCTGGTACCCTACAATTCTTTGATCTGGAGTTTTCCCCCCAAATTACCCTCCTACTTACCAGTTGCCAATGGTGGTTCTCAGTATAGCTCTAGGTGTCTCAAACATTAATTAATTTTATCCTTGCAACTCCTGTGTGAATGAAGGGAGTAGTAGTATCCCTGTGTTACAGATGAGGGATTGATGAACAGAGAGATTAAGTGACTTGCCTGAGGTCATACAGGAAGTCTGTAGCAGCTGGTTTTAGATGGACAGGGATTCAGGCTAGCATTAAGCAAAAGACCATCTTTCCTCCTGGACAGGAATGGGGTGAAGGTGCCATTGGTTGTTTACTTAACTGTTTGTGGGAGGGGAGGTCAATTCAGACTCTAGCCAGCAACTTCTCTTTAGAGATAAAGGCTGTAATTTTCAGTATAGGAGGGAATGAGAACTTCAAGGCCTTCATGAACTGAAGTAATTCTGCGTAGAACCAGGGTACTGCGGGAGCTACTGGTTCACTTGAACTCTTTTAATATTAGGAATTTTAAGACTTTATTAGCCTGGCAATTTGGTGCTGGTTGGAATCTGGGGACCAAATTCAGTGGAGGCATAAGACGGTGCAACTCCAATTAGCTTCAGTAGAAATTGTAATTACTTAGCCCTGGTCTACACTGAGGGGGGGGGGAGTCTGTAAGGTATGCAACTTCAGCTATGGGAATAGTGTAGCTGAAGTTGACCTACGTAGATTGACTTACCACGGCGTCTTCATGGCGGTGAGTCAACTGCCGCCACTCCCCCGTTGACTCCACTTGCGCCTCTCCTGGTGCTGGAGTTCCAGAGTCGACGGGAGAGCGCTCTGGGATCAATTTATCGCGTCTAGAGTAGACGCGATAAATTGACCCCTGATATATTGATTGCTACCCACCGATCGGGCGGGTAGTGTAGACCTACTCTTAGATAAGGGCTGAATGTGGTCCAGTGACACAGAACGTATTTCAAACACTTGCATTTGTAATCATTTTGTCACCTCTTGCAGTAATGTATCTTTTTGTAGGACAAGGACAGCTCATTAACTTACTGTTGTATTGCTGAGACAGCATGTCTACAGTGGTAGATACTCTCTAAATGAGCAGGGTTTTATTATGAATTTTGAATTGTGAGCTTAACTTGCCTCTTCTGGAACTTGAGACCAGAGATCTGCTGTGTATGATGATATTTTTATTAGGCAGATTGGAGGATAAAGATGGAGACACAGACTATTATTAATTATTTTTTTTTTAAATTCAGAATGTCTTTAGCAAACCATAAGCCATATCATACCATCTATTTTTGAGCAGAACTCCCCATGGAAGTGAATGGTGAGTTCTGATTAATGTGTTGTAATATGAATCTCTAGTAGGATAACTTATCAAGCATTACTGTATGCACATCGATTGATGGTCAAGCTGTCCAGTAAAGCTGGTGTTGGGTACATTTTGTAATAAGTGTAAAAATTAAAACCTGCTTCAAACAAAACAAATAGTTATTACAAAGAGGGGTAACTTCTTCCTGTTCTGTTCTTAGGACAGCAGTGAAATTCACTTCAAGGTGAAAATGACGACACATCTCAAGAAACTCAAAGAATCATACTGTCAAAGACAGGTTTGTGAAACAGTGGCACTGTCCTATTGAAAAAGCACTTTAACCTCTCTTTCCTCCCTTCCCCAAGTAAAGGGATCTGCTTGGACAGGTGAACTCATGTCAAATCTCTATTCACCAGAGGGATAGACCCAACAACCACAGAACTATGGACCTCCTAATTAAGTTTGACAGTCATTAGCATTTATGCTGGACAGCATGATGTGGACCCTGTCCTGTTATAATGTGTTCAAATTATTGGTTGAAATTACAAGGTATCTGTTAAAAGCAAATGCTCCCTTTTTTAATATGCTCATGTGTGTTCTTATGGGTACTGTAAAAGACGCTTTACCTCTTACAGCTCAAAGTGAAATGCACTTAGAATTGTGGAATACTTTCACTGTTGTATGGAAGCAGAATTAGACTTACAACTGCCAATATTGTTAATATGGTAATAAATTGACAATGTGTGACTACTAAATTCATTGCATTAACGATTTGGTAGAAGGGGTAAACAGTGAGGTGGCAAAGTTGTAAATGATACAAAATTACTCAAGATAGTTAAGTCCAAAGCAGACTGCAAAGAGATCTCACAAAACTGGGTGACTGGGCAAGAAAATGGCAGATGAAATTCAGTGTTGATAAATGCAAAGTAGTGCACACTGGAAAATGTAGTCACAGTGTTGCATACAAAATGATGGGGTCTAAATTAGCTTTTACCATTCAAGAAAGAGATCTTGGAGTCATTGTGGATGATTTTCTGAAAACATCCACTCAATCTGCAGTGGCAGTCAAAAAAGCTAACAATGTTAGAAACTATTAGGAAAGAACACCCACACTGTGAATACTGCGTGCATTTCTGGTCACCTCATCTCAAAAAGATCTATTAGAAATGGAAAAGGTACCAAGAAGGGCAACAAAAGTGATTAAGGATATGGAACAGCTTCCAGCTGAGGAGAGGTCAAAAAGACTGGGACTGTTCAGCTTGGAAAAGAGGTGACTAAATGGGGATATGAGAGAGGTCTATAAAATCATGAATGGTGTGGAGAGAAAGTGTTCTACCCCTTCACATAACACAAGAACAAGGTTGATGAAGTTAATGCGCAGCAGCTTTACAACAAACAAAAGGAGGTACTTCTTCATATGATACACAGTCAACGGGTGGAACTTGTTCCCTGGGGGATGTTGCGAAGGTCACAAATTTAAAATATGAATTGGATACGTTCATGGAGGATAGGTCCATCAGTGGCTGTTAGTGAAGATGGTCATGGATTCAACCCCGTGCTCTGGGTGTCCCTAAGCCTTTGACTTCAACATGCTGGAACTGGACAACTGCAGATGGATCGCTCAATAATTGCCCTACTCCGTTCACTCCCTCTGTATCATCTTGCATTGGCCACTGTCGGGAGACAGGATCCTGGGCAAGATGGACCATTGGTCTGCCCAATATGGCCATTTTTTGTGCTGCAAGGGATCAGATTTATCTTCCACATCAGTTTCTCTTAAAACTACCAATTAACATTTCTCTTGTTTGCCTATTCTGTGTTTAGCTATTGGATCAGCAGTGGCCTTTATGTGGTCCTTTCTTCAGCAGCGTTCTTCAGGTTCACCCTACCAACTGTGACCATAAGCAGTGATGGCTAACATTTTTGTGTTAATAGAGACAAACTAAACTTGTCAACAGATAGCTTTGTAGTCAAGCTTCATTCTTTGGTCATATGATGTCTTCATTTTTCTGTGTCCTTGTCATTGTGAGATTTGCTGCTACGTACAGGAAGAAAGAGTATTCTTAATATTTATTGCTTACATCTCATTGAATGTATGCTGGGAGAGAACGCTGCCATGATGAGCTTAAAATCTTAGGGCCTGATGCTGTGAACCTTTTCACACAAGTTTTGTGTGTGTCAGTCATACCTAGATCTATAGGTTACTCTGTATATCTAAAAAACAAAAACTCATCCTATAGCAGTTTGAATGGATACCACTGTAGTATGTGTATACTATAGAATGAAGTTTTTTTTACTTCTTACTTGGGCTATAACTTGGTGAACAAAGTAACCATGGAGATATTTTAGGTTTCCTTATCCAAGTGTGCTCAAAGGCAGATGCTTCTATGTCACATCATCTTCTGAGAGAGGAGTCTTAAGGTAGTTTCTTCCAGGGCCATAAAAATGCTTCCCAACTGTAAGAGGGATTACTAGAGAAGGTCTTCCTTTCCTATTAATTTGCCTGCCTGGTTAACTTGCAAGCCATTTATCTTTGAGGTACAATACACTACAGACTTTGGGTGCTTCAGAATAATTCATCTTAAAAATGACTCTGTGCAAGTTATTTAGTTTAGAAGAGCTTACTGTAAGTGACAGTAGCTGTGTATGCAGACATTTTAATATGGATTTAATAACCTCGAGCTACTTACCTTTTGCTGATGGCATAAAACAAGATGAGTATGGGTTTCGTTATCTGGTGTTGCTATACTGGCATATTTAGAGACCAGCAGTATTAACTGCACAATTAAGATTGGGTCTTATTTTGCACTTGAAGTGGGAGTTGAACCTGTATTGTATGAAAGATACAGTACATCTGGCCCAAATTTTTGAGCAGATTATCAAATATATCTGTTCGTTAGACTGAATTCTAATCACTTTAAATTGGCATTTAAAAGTTCTTATTCTGTCTCTTGGTTATTGCGTGTGTTTTGGTTTTTAACTTTTTCTAGCTTAACTCTGAACTATGGAATGTCAAAAATACATACATTGTGAGTGTTTGAGGTCTCTTTGGAGTCATGTAATTCTTTTTCTTTTTTCTTTTTAAGTATTAGTATTATTCGCCATAACTGATACCATGTTTGCTGCAGTTAGCAGATGAATAACTTGATTTATGTCAGCTACTTCCGTTCTTCAACATGGGGTGCAAAAGCCTTTTTGAATGGTTCAGGAAAGAATACAACACTGCTTTCTAATGTATGCCCCCAGTAACTTCCTTGCATCCATAATTGTGGCTAGCATCGGGAATGAATTTTGCTAATCCAAGAGTGTGTTTGGGGAGTCAGAGAAGATCTTTGACAAAGGACATTTGTCACTTTGTTGAAGACTGGATCTTGGTGAAGCTGTTCAGTTGGTTCAGGAGTAAAGTTGAACAGTTTAATGAAAAACAAGATCTTCAACAAAGCAATGAGTGTTGAGGAGTCTGTTCTTTTTGAACCCAGTCAGCTGGGTTAGAAGTTCTCCCACTGAACTGGTGGAACAATTCATGGAGATCCTGGTCTGAGACAATTCAGCTGGTTCAGGAGTGGCGCTCTTGAACCCGTGGAATAGCTTCACAAAGAATATAGCACCTTTGACAAATCAACGGCTTCTGACAAATATCAAGGTCTTTGTGCGTGGAGCTATTGTATTGGAGATCTCTTCTTAGGCTTTTAGTATTCTTTGTCATTACTGAATGCTTTTGAGCAATGGTTAGCTGTTGAAAAGGAAAATCTAGTTTTGACCAGCCCTACTTTAGGGGAGCAGTACATTGCCTATTGTCACATGCCCCCACTTATGACCCAAAATGGTCCAAATGGAAGAGGAGCAGGTTTTTCTAGTACAAGCAACATTTATGTTGTGTAGTAGATGAAGACCTTTGGCAAAGCAGTGGCTATGAAATACATCTTTGTGAAGCATGGCTGGATAGGTCTTTTGTGAAAGCCTTTGGCAAAACTCCTGAGCCAGCTGAACTCTTTCACAAAAATCCTGTTCTTAATTAAGTCAGCCATTGCTGTGTCAGAGATCCCTTTTCAATCTGGAAAAAAACCTATGAAATTAATACACAAAACCACTGTGTTGTGTTTCAGTTAAAGCTGGCCCACACACATACCTAACCCAAATCCACAAAACCAGGAAAAGAAAAGTTAAGGTGTCTAACTATTCATACCCTCTTTCTCCCCTCAGACACATACCTAACCACTAGTACAACCACCATACACCACAGACAAAGCATCACTATTTTCTCATCCCCATTGGAGATGCCAGCCTTCCAGCACCCCTTTTTCTAGACATGAGTGATTCCCCTGCCCCTCCAACTTGTGCAGAAGGGATAGTGGGGAAGGAGTCTGGTCAGTTTGTGGTGATGCTGGGTGTGGGAGTGTTGGGAAAGGGGGTGCTGGAATACACAGCATTGACAGAAACACTACCCAATTTCTGAGAACAAAAATCTTATTCCTGTTGATTTGCAGGTCAGAAAGAACCCAGCTTGACTTTTAATACTAGGTAGAGTTTGCAGGGTGGAGAGGAGTCAAAAAAAACTCTTTTCTTGTAAACTGGACAGACTTCATGTGGTGGTGGTTGACAACAAATACACAACTACAGTCTGCTTTCAGAATAAAATTGTACTTTAATGTTAACATTCGCTTAACTATTTTAGTGCACTAGGTGCGTAATAAAATACACACAGCTTAGATGCTTGCACATCAGTGGCTAGTACCCAATCTTCAGTTTTCAAATTCTTTGCTTATATTGAAAATGTAATATTATTTGTGTATCAATTTTTAAAAGCTTACATGTGCTTTACTAAACATTTCTGTGGCTTGTTTTTAGGGAGTTCCAATGAATTCACTCAGGTTCCTCTTCGAGGGTCAGAGAATTACTGATAATCATACCCCCAAAGAGGTGAGTTTCTTTCCTTAATAGAAGGCAAGTGGCAGCTTAAACAATGCACCATGGGACAACTAAAGAAGTAGACTGTGCTTCGCATGTTAGGGATTTCACTGTTCAGCCAAAACTTCCATTATTTGCTTGAAAACGTTTTTTAATACAAGTATATGTACTCATCTTTACCAGAGAGACGTAGGAAAACATGAGTAGCTTGTCTTCTGTTTACTATCCATATCAGGATTATACTTAATTGTTGCATAAATTTATTCCTGGTATTGCAGAAGTTATAAAGACTGACCTTTTGGACTCAGGATGTGAGTTATGCAGTGTTGATGTAATCATCTTTTGGTCTTAAACTTTCAGCTGTCTAGAGAATGGAAAACGAACTTGAAAACTTTTAGATATCAGTTGTAGTTTCTGAAGTGAAAGTCCTTTGTTATAACCAAGTAAGCTAAACGATCTATAATTTGCAGTCATTATGCCATTGGTACACAATTGCATGACAATCATGCAACAGCTGCACAAGAATAAAGTTAGAGACTTTAAAAAAAAATAGCCAATGATTTTTTGGGATCTGGAAAAGGATTTGGACTCCCTACAGAATATTGCCAGTTCTGAAGTAGATGTGCTGCAAAGATGAAACAAGTGACTTGGGGGGTGGGGGAGCAGTCTAAATAAAGTTATTAGTGTTGGCTAATAAGGCAGTGACAGAGGATTATTTTTCCACCACCTTGTCCTTTTGAGGAAATATGGCTGGGGAGAGGAAGAAAACCTTTTAGCTCCCTTGCTTGTCCAGGAGCTGCTGTGCATTCAAAACATCTGATTTGTAACAATTTTGTGTGTTTTTTTTTTTGTTTTTGTTTTTTTTCTTCCCTGTTCTCACAGCTGGGGATGGAGGAGGAAGATGTGATTGAAGTTTATCAGGAACAGACAGGGGGTCACTCTACAGTTTAGATCCTTCTGTTTGTTTTTTCTTTCCCCTTAATCCTTTTTTATTTTTAAATAATAGTTCTTTTGTAATGTGGCGTTCAACACTGAACTGAAACTGGCACCCCAACTCTGGGAACTTATTTTCAAACATCTGGTATCTTGAATTCTCGTGCTCATTATACACTATAATTTCTGTTTTCATTGTGCTGAACTCTTGTGATCCAGCTGCAGCTCTGCTCCTTTTCCCCCACCCCTTTAAAATTACATGTACACACATGCATTTGTATGTTCGCTAGGATCGTGCCTTTCAGGCACGAAGGTTGTAAGATCTGCCAGGTGGGCAAGTGTTCCTAATGACTTCCAAATCAGCCCTGAAGTTTTGATGTGTGACTGTTTCACTCCTGGACTATAACTTTCAGTGGGAGATGAAGTTTTTCAGAGAACTAAACAATGGAGAAATTGTGTGTCCATAATTGAGAGCTGTTTTCCTTAAATTGTGCTGGGGACCTGGGAAAGAAGACTGTCCAGTTGGAAATGAAAAAGATCTGTACTTTCTTCCAGAGATGACTTCACAGAAGACATAAAATTGAAAACCCTGTCTATTCTTAAATTTTGGCAGAAGAGCCCAGAAAAGTTCTTTCATATAGCAATTAATACACAAATATTCATGCAAGAATGTACACAGCAGACACTTGTAGTATTCTGACATTCTTGTTTGTACCTTTTGGCCTGGGACATGGGTTTTGAATGGACGTTGTCTGTACCAGCTTCATTAAAATAAACAAGAAAAACGATTTTATAAACATTAACAATTTGTATTTTCTTTTCAAATATTTGGAGATGAAAGAGCAAGAGATGTGCTTATTTAGTAAATATTGATCAGAGCCAGCAAATATTACTCTTAAAATATACACTGTAAACTAGAATTCTGTTGTTCCCTTCTTACTCCAAGTATTGAATACTCATTGATTTTTTTGTTTTGGTAATAGTAATGTGCATTTCTTTCTCTTGAAGCTATTAACTGTTTCTGGTACCTGTTAGATGATGAAAATATGTACTTGGAGCTTCAGTTTGGATTCTAAAACTAAAGGTTAGATTGAAACCTGTAACTTGGAAGGGAGAGTTGGAAGGAAATAGGTTTTCAAAAAAGCCAAACCCCAAAAAGTTAACCTTTTCCCGCTAGATCACTGTGTCACAAATGGTCTGGGTCAGTAGTGCCCCAAAGTAATTACCATCTGATGGGTGAATGGTGTCCTATCTAAAATGAGTTACAGGCTCATTGCAATTCCTAACCAGGTATCCACATCTCAAGAGGTACCACCATTGTGAGTACCTGCCTGGGCCATCTCAACAGAGCATCACACAATTATGAATGGGTCACACTTAAATGGGTCTTACAGTTCAGGTAGAGGTGGATTGGCAGGACGGTGTAGAAAAATGCATTGCTTTGCCTCTGCTACATGTGACGTGCAAATAAAAAGGACTTGAGTTTGCAGGTTTTTACATCGAGCACTTTTCATGAAAACTCAATTCACATTGTCATTTTGCTAAAATATGTTTTATACTTTCACAGATGGGTTTTGAGGGTTTTTTATGGAGCTCACTGTACAGTTATAAATGCATTTCCTTTCATGCTTGTGGTTTGTGTCCCTTTTCCCATCTAGTAGTACACTTCTTTTGTACTCCTAGCTGCACTAAACAATTCTTTTAAAATATTAAAATTTTGCTTTAACAAAGTCAGAGAATATGGAATTTTTTAAGTGTTATGTTTAACCAAATGATTTCCAGAAGAAGAATAACCTTCAAAAGAACAAATCACCAATATAACATATGGTGAAGCAAAATACTGTTTCCTTGAGATGTTCTCTGTGTGCTTTAGCTATATCTTAGGTACTTACGTGCCTCTGTAAGAGCAGTATGTGAGCACCTCTCCAGCTTTCTAATAAATGCATCCTCACAACATCTCTATGTGGTAGGAAATTACCACTATTCCTGCTTCACAGAGGATTAACTGAGGCAGAGAGAGACTGTAGCACAGCTGGGAATCGTATCCAGATCAGTTGACTTCTAGACTAGCATCCTAACCACTGGACCTTTTTCCTCCCAATCTACATTTTATATCCTGATTTACATTAACTCCTGAAGTGAGGAGGGACTGCATAAAACCCTCTTTTGAGACTACTAGAGAGTCTTAGTTGGGTGGAGAGCTTGCTGCACATGGCCTTCTCTGGCTCACTCCAGTGAAGATGAAATGGTGAGGTCTTTTCTATACTAAACTTTTTTTCCCTAAAATTTCCCACTGGGAGTTTGCTCTTCCTTCAGCTGCATACATATGATGCTGTTGGGCAACCATGTTTTATCTGGACTTGCTGTGAGCAGTTAGATAACCTATAGTTAATATTCCTCTCCCACTGTGACCATCAGTGGAGCTGTACTGTTGGGAAGATTTAGGGGAGTGTACGCTATCATCTTTCTCATCCTCCTCCCCAAGACAAATCTTGGAAACTAAACCCTGGCTTCATGTAGAAAGATGCTAGATATTGTTCCAGTGTCTCTTTTCTCTATGATTTGTAGTATCTAGCAAAGTTACAAATTAAAGCTTCCAGGCTTATCTGTGCTAAACAATCTGTTACACTTTGGATTTAGCTGTGACACTGAGTATGTTTCACAGAGCTCTCTGTAAACTCAAACGTTTGTCCCTCTCCCCAACAGAAGTTGATCTAAAAAAGATAATCACCCATCTTGTCTTTCCCACGTAATCACGTGCTAGATACCTGTTTTGTGGTTTTGACGTGTTTTTCCATTGTTCCCTGGAAGGAGTTAAGTGGCATGTGGAAGGAGCATTTCTGGCAGAAAAAGGAGTTCTGTAGGAACAGAATTCATAAGTTCTTACGCGAGCTGCATTCAGGTCTCTTTTACCCAGAGGTGGACTAGGCTTTGTGCTTGCATGTTGCTAGGAAGAGGGAATCAAAGTGAAAAGTCGTCACCTAAATTCTGTCCCTTCCATTCAAAATCTCTTGATATTGTATACCATGCGCAAAATGTAATACATTGTTTTTAAAAGCCTATAACACACACTGCATCTATGTAAAATAAGGGTATATTCATTAAGAGGTCTTCTAATGTACAGATATGATGAAAAAGCTTGCAGGTGGATACTGTTTCATAATAAGAATGTAGAAAGGGAAAGTTATTTTTGTATATGGAGTATTTTTTTTTTTTTTTTTAAATCTGTGCTGTGTATGTCCAGCAAGTGAAAACTCCGAATTGCTGGTGCACAGCCAGACATGCTTATTAAGGATCAGCCACAGGCAATATATACAAACAGTTAAAGGAGCTACATACATTAAGACACCACTCACTACCTTTTTATTTATTTATATTTTTTTTTACAGGAAAGCTCAAGTCCTGTAAATCAATTTATTTTGCTTCTAGCACTAGTAGTTAATGCACATTTAATTCAACTGAAGTCCAGCTCCAATTCAGCAAGAGCATAAAAATATTTCTGATGACATTGTTCCAAATCTATTGAAAATGTGCCGTGTGGTTTGCACATATAAATTTAACTCTGTTATATGCTATAAAAGAAAACAATGCAGAAGAAAACATGATTAACCTGATTTTGAGAAACAAGAATTGTTCTCTTGGGGGTAGCAGTCTTTATTTGACGTCTTCGTTGGCTTCTTGGTATTGCATGATGCTAATACGCATAAAATCTAGCGGTTTCTGGATCTAATGAGCATAGGTAAGTCAGTTGGCCTGAGGATCCTTCTGCAAGTCAGAGAAGCCCTCATACCCTCCACAAGATTGTGAAAGCTACTGCCCTGCTTTTACAGAATGGTCCTGAGAATCTGGGAGGGGGCAACAGGGTAGGAGAAGTCTGCTCTTACAAGGTCCACAAAAGACAGTAGGGCTAACTCAGGCTGTTAATTAGGTTGTCTATTGGTTGACTACAGCGTCTTGAATGCTTGATTTCCCACCTATTGGATGAACATATAAAGTGTACTTATCTATTGAGGAAGTGAATTTAGAAGAGAAAATGTCTCCCCAAGAAGCAATAGGGAAGTCCTAGGCCATGTTTTATACTTCCCATTGGGTCAGACAAGTTCAAAGGAACTCTTAATTGGATTCAGTGAATTGGAAGAGTCCACTGCAATAACCCCTATCCTCTCAGTATCCTTACATTTATTTGTTTTCTTTTGCTGTCTCTGGGCCTATCATTTGGAGCAGCTGAAAATAAGAATAAACCCATGGCCGTGAAATTTGCTGTGTATGTTCCAGTCCACTGGCTTCCACTAGCAACTCCCGCTGGAATCGCAGGTGCTGCTCCAGAGCTTCTCTTTGCCTGCAAACAAACCATGCTAATTAAAATATTTAGAGACAAATGAAAGGAAAGCAGCTAGTGTTCCTTGATTCATTAGGAGTGGGCTAGGTCAATATTTTTTTCCTTAATAATTATAAACTCAGCAATTTAAATTCATGCTGGTGTAACTTTTTACTTCAGCCATACTACAGTTTCAGCTGTAGTGGGAAACCTGGGCACTATGCACCATTTTGTAGTATAGATGGGATACTAGCTGTGTCGCTGAACTATTCAAAAACTTGGGATCCATGTAAAGCTTTAGCACGCAGTTTGGGGACGTACTGAAAACATGGTTGAGTTTTATCTACACCACAAAGAATCATTTTGTAATTTGGAGTTCTAGAGTACACAGGAACAAACATTAGAATTTGAGGCTCATTACTGGAATTCCAGTGTGAACCAGTGAAGATATTTTCACTGACATAGTTCCAGCCCTAGTAGTGTTTTTGTTTAGATTGGCCCCAAGTGATGTTAACTACTGATGTGTTACTATTCAGCAGGAATAATTTCCTTTTCTGAATAAGGCTGTTTACCTGGCTAGAAGTTGTGCTTGTGTCTTTGCTTCCTCCAAAGCTAATCTAGCTGCTGCTTCTGCTTTCTTCCTCGTTTCCTCGGCCTCACGCCTTGCCTGTTCCTCCTCCTCCAGTTTCCTTCTCTCATACTCCAGGCGTTCTTCTTCTGCCATCTCTGCTAGCCGTTGTCGTTCCACCTCTAGCCACATTTCCCTTTCTTTCTGTTTGCGTTTTTCTGCCTCTAGGGGGTGGATGACCAGATAATTAGTAGCTGCCAAGATTTCCTATTTAGGAAATCGTTGTTTAACTGTACTGAAAACCCAAAATGATGTTGCTATTGCAGTATTGTCAACCCCAAGTGTTTTAAAAACCCCAGGCCCCTAAAATTGAGATTTAAAAAAAACAACTTCTCATTCAGCACATTTTCAAGTATTTGTTTTCAGCTATTAGTGTTAAACAATTACTTACATTTTTAAGGCAATTCTCATGTAGTTATATAGCTCCAGGGAGCGTGGGGAGCCAGGAGGCATCGGTGGTGGTGGCGGCAGGGCTGAAGTAGCCCTAGCCTGCAGCTTCCCGGGCGGCGGGGGAGGGCTGGAGCCCTGAGCCCCACCTGCGCCGGGCTGAAACCCAGAGCCCTGCATTGCACCTCAAGTGGGGATGAAGCCCCATGCCCTGAGAGTGTCTGAAGCCCTGAGCAGGACTGAAGCCCAGAACCCCCAGCCCTGACCCTCTATATAGAATACCCCCAAAAAAATTAAATAAATGGTATTCTAATATTGTTTAACTGTGTGATTAAAACAGCAATTAATCATGAATAACTTCTAAAATTTCACGATTTAATTTTTTTTAATCGCATGACAGCTCTAGTGTTTTCATTCTCTGCTCTTGCCTGTGACCTGGGGTATCAGACCCAACCTTTGTATTTTTACAGGGC